ATTTGTTCAGTAAGGGAAACTCCTAACCAAAGAGACGATAAGTTTTTTGGGAGTGTGGGGAAAACAGCGTGCCCGGAGGATGCCAACGACCTTCAAAATATGTTGGATTCTAATAATCGTTCACGAACAGATAACAAGCCCCAGGTTTAAGAACAGTGTGGTCCTGCAACGTTTGATTGCTGTTGTAATTTTTGTTCGCTATTTTCTTTCCTGTTCTAAATTTACTATGGCTTGATCGGAACATACGTGTATTATATTCCCTTGTATTTCTCTATCTGATTCCACCAAGTGCTTGGCCGTATCCTTAGACAAGAAGAATGAGATAAATTGTAGCGTTAGCAAGACATTTATCACTTCAAAGGTTCTCGAATTCTCTCTCATTAGTTTTCGGACACGAAAGTTCTATCCGTCAGTGCCATGCACTCTCGTGATAATGGCGACCCTATTACTTGAGTGCTGTGAATGTTGTTTTATTTCAAATACAAGTTAGATCTTCATTTCTCTTGAACAGAGATTAATGGCGAGCAGAACAGTTTTTTGAGGGTCGTTATAGGCTGTGGTCTGTCGTTCGATGGTTTGGCGTATGGATGTCTTGGATCGCCGGATTTGAGCATTCTGGTGTTTCATTGGAATCGCGTAGTACTCACACGGACCATGATCGCATCGTCACTATATTGTAAGTATCAGCTGCCAGTTTTTGTTAAGTTTTTCTGCATTCTAAAGTGATTTCCATCTTACCGGGGTTTTCCATAATCCGCTTGGTCAATTTTTTTCAGTTCTAGCGATGAGTCTATGTTTTACCAAACCAACGAACAGTGCAATTTGCTTTGTATCTCTTCGTTTTATCACACTTTTTGTGGCAGGTAAGCGTGCTATTATTCCGTTGTCGTTTTTACCGGGTTCAGGTCTTTTTTGTGCATTTACTGCCTTGGTTGTTCCTCTTAGTCTTGTTGCCTGAGACTTTTGACCCTGTTGGTCTCCAGAAATCGATTTTCGAGAAGATTCGTTGACTGTGTTTCACTTTCCCACCGCCTGTTTACTCATTTTCTACTGCATGTCTCTAGCAGAAAAACGGATTTGCCTCGAACTGGACCTTTAAACACCCCATTGGAAGAGGAATATGCACATGTTTTGACCTTGTGTTCTGGTTAGTCACTGATCGACTTTCCCCTGTCAATACACAGTCCGTTTCGTATTTTACCAGCCCGTTAATGACACGTTCTCGATTATCATCTTTCCGGAACTGTCGCTTTCGTCGTACTCTTTCATCACTTTCTTCGCTAGTATGCTTTCGTGCTCTTCTACATTGAAAGTAAGTATAGAAATGTGGTTATAGGCGTTGTAACAATCGCTAAATGCGATTTGATGTAATGAAACTTGTTTCGAATGATTTTCAATTTCATTCAGAGAAGAAGAGCCATTCCTTTGGCGGCAAAAGCTTTTATCGCCAATCTGGCTTAGCTGAATGCTGTCAGTTCTGAGCATACGTTCCGAGAAAAAGGAAGAAAAATTCACGTTTTATGAGGACTTGGCATGGTTTCCAAGAAACTCTGTAGAGAACTTTACCTTTAAGACAGAATGGTGCTGAAGAGAATCATTTTTTGAAATTGTCTGAGCAAGTGTGACTTATTAGACAGCAAAAGATTATGGAAATAAGCCGTACGTTTCTCCTGACTTTGAATCCGTGGAGACTACCTTAGTGTTTCCGCATTCTTTAAAGATGCGCTACTATGTGACGCTCTCAGGACGCTTATGTTAAATGGCATTTACTTGAAAGCTCGAGCTGTATGTAGTAATATTGTAGGGCGCAACATACTAAAAGTAATTATCCATAACGTGCACTCCCAATACTCTTTGTGGATTGGCGAGAAACACGGGGTTGAAGTCTTGCAAAGACCCAGCACCTTAATAATCTAATGGGCCATAAATGTCCTTCAACATCATGCTTGACGCGCAAAACTCGGCTTCATCTATGTATTTGTGCCGAGTGGAACTTCTGCAGAGCATCGCCGTTCCTTTTCCTAATAATCGGTTCTGTGTTACGCGGATTTAACCTTGTCAGATAACTCTCTAGCTTACACCACTGGTTCTATTCCATTCGATGGTTTTGCTCTCTTTGGAAGCAGCTTGCTTTTCATTCGAAACCGTTGGGGTACTAAGTAAGGAATATGAAATGTTCCACTTTGGTAACATGTTTCAGGTGGAGTTGTATGCCTAGTCTACCACTTAATAACAGCTTTTCGTGCATTGTACGCCATGCAAAAACGGAGGAACTGTGGCTACAATACCCAGCAGTGTTTACCATTCTCTCAGGCGAGTTTGTCAAGTTGATGCTTTTCGGCAAATTTTGTCCAGTGTGACCTTCCGAATTTCCATCGATAGCAATGTTTTTTTCCCGTCGAAATCTCAGTCCGTATGTTAGTATAGCCAGTTGTAACGGATTTTCGGCTTCTTCACTCTTCACGTTTACAGTGTGTTGCGATGAAATTCGCCGACCTACATTTTTGTGTTGTAAATGCTGTAAACACAATTTACATAAGTTACCACTACTTAGTTTTTTTACGGTGTAAAAGACTATTCACTTTTTATCTCTTTAATCGAAGCGTGTACCGCAGTGGACGGAGGCGCGTTCCAATTCATACGGATCAATTCCTGCGCCCTTGGCCCACCAAGCTTTCTATCCCACTTAATTCTGCAAATTGGTACCAGACTTGTCTGGGAGGATAGCATACAGCACAGGCTCGACACATCGGTAGGCCACCGCGAGTCATTGTTAAGGCCAGATATGCATTCAGCCACCTCTAAGCGATGCTTAGTGGAGTCGAATTCATGGCGCTTCCCCAAGGGATTGATCACCGCCGAGAGCTCTATTCTTTATCCTTTATATATCACTTTAATGAAGTTATTAATTCCTCTGGAACATGCGCCACCAAGCGCTCAGTGTCAATGAATATCTTGCAGTTGCTCTATCATTACTTCTTGACACCGAACGCTTGAACTTTGAATTCAAGTAGCTCCTGTTTTTGGTTGCTTAAAACTTTCAAACCGGCGTGTTCTGTTGTGTCTGTTGTAAAGGTTTCATTTTTACCCATTGAACGGTTTTTTCAGAGTTAACGATGTGTGTCTTCGTAATCTGGGAGGAAAACCAGATAGCAATCGTGTCGAATTTTCACACGAAGTCCAGCTGAAGGTGTCCTTGACTAATAGGTTTATCGAGGTAATAAAAACTCCATCCAACTACCTTAACTGTGCTAGTTGTTCAAGCTTCCATATGGACGATATTTCGGCACAGTTTTTACGCATATAAATTGTAGGGCTTTTTGGCTCAAGCTAAGAGGAATCCTCGATAACATCATTACATTAGGGAGGTAAGATACTCGAGAGTTTTCTATTTGAACAGTACTTACTTCGCTTTCCCGATACAATTTTATCCATCAATGTGGGTGTTACGGGTGTTCAGGAACTTGGATCTTGCCTCGAATGTTCTAAAAATTTGTCAAGCTGTTGAAAGGTGCAATGAAATCATTTGACGTAGATCCGATTACGATCCATTCCAATGTCATTCGATGTGGTAAGTTGCAATTACTTCTTTTTTTGGAGTGAAGTATTCCGATTTTTCTCTATTGAGAAATATCCATGATAGTTCTCCTCAACTCTATCCGAACGCATCGTATTTAGTCTTTATTTATGATTAGAACAACGAAAATCCTAAGGCGTTATGAGTTGGAAAGAATTTTCAACTAATCTGGTAAAATGAAAAAAGGATAAAGCTCTCGGCGTTAATCAACCCTTGAGAGATGCGCCATGCATTCGACTTTATTACATTTGGAGGTGTTTGAGTGCATATCTGAACTTTACAATGACTCAAAGTGGCCTAGCAACGTATCGAACCAGTGCTGCTATCCTCCCAGCTAAGTTTGGTACCAACTTGCTGACCCCGGAGGGATGGAAGGTTTGGTGGGTCAGGGGCGCGGAGATCGATTCAGTGTGTATATCGATCGCAGGGCACCTCCGACTACTGCGCCACACGCGTGCTCAACAAATGCCATAGTTGTATAATTACAATGTGTTAATTAAAATTAATTTAATTGCTAGCATTTCTTAGTTTTCGCGAGTATATGTATTTCACTTAAGGTGTGCCTTATGCACAGCTCGTATTTTTCTCTTCAGGGAGGATCGCTCATCTCTATTTGGCTTGAACTAACATGCTCATGCCCAACTTGCAGACTTGCAATCTAAGTGTATCCGTAGTAGTTTTGTGAAGTAAATTAGGGAAATATTAGTGTAGCGGAAATAATGTTGAAACTCAACCTTAAATGTGCCATTCAATTGCGGGGTGATTAAATGTAATACCATGAGATTTATATAGCCATGGTGGAAATTTTAGACGACTTTTTGCGTGATCGAATTGGCTGTAGTCTTTTATGTTACTGAAGAAGATATTGCTGACAGTGGTGATTCTCTGAGATCAATTCTTGTTTAGATTTGAAACATTTTTGAAGTGATGCAGGTGTTCATTCCCTAGTGCCTTTTATTTTATACTTTGGCTAGGCTGACCTCGGGACTCCAGGGAAAACATCGTAGCTAAAGCAGCAAAACACCGAAAATGGAGATTATACTGGGCCCGCACAACCAGTGAGAGCGGGCCGTCCAAGTATCCAAGCACTGTCATTCGTGACGTGTTAACTATTCCATCTGCTCTTCTGAGTATGTTTCGATGTTACCGATGTTTCGGCAACCGTTGTGGATGCTCTTGCAGCTTTTATTGCTTCTGGTAATACCTTGATGTTCCCATTGTGTGAGTGGGATCGACTGCATAGGTCACGTTTAATTTCTTGAGCTCTTCAGATTTTGAAATTTTCTATGGAAGCAAACACTTTTGTTTTGCTAAAGTCCTTTGATTTAGTGTTTTTTGCACTTAGCAAAAGCAAACTTTTCTTGGTGGTGCTCTTGCACTCAAATATCCTATCGAACTAGCTACTGTGACCGACTGAAATGAGATGGAGCAGGTGTGGCAGCTCCTGTTTACAAATGAGTTGTGCATCTTTCCTAGCCAACATCCGATGTTAGTCACGAAACCACCTCTGAACCTGAAGGGGAACCGTGAATGGATAGCAGAACCTATGTTTGAAGCGTTGCTTTCAACACACCGAATTTGTATGCTGAAATTCAAAATGTGCTTTCATTGAGCGCATCCGGAAGAATGACGGAAAATGTAATCGATTTCGGCGATGGTATCACTCATACTGTGTCCACTTATGAGGTAAGAGAAATGAAAACTCAAGAATTTGTGCCGGGAATCACCAGCGTGTTGATCTACAAGGGCGGGGCGGGTTGTTTTCGTCCAAGAGAAACGAAACGAGTCGTGTGTGAGGGCGATGCGATTCTCATTGAAATCCTCTGCTCGCTCATATGACTGGTAGATAAAAGAAGTCCCGACCGAGAACTACACTCTGCTTGTCCAAATACTCAAAAGTTGTGCAGAACTAGCCTCAATTCAACGAACAGGAAGTGTAGACCTCATCTCCATTACCACCAAGGAGTTGCATGAAAAGAGAAGAACACTGAAGCTTGATCCAACTACAACACACCTAACACAGCTGATAATAATTGCCAACTGTACAAGGTTTTGTTGGAGGATTAACATCGGTATAGGCAGCAAAGATTATTGGAAGCAGCTCACAAACGACCGAGTATGAAGAGGTGCCGTCAGAATCTTGGCGCCTATAGTTCCGCTATGCGCCCTGATGATCAAAGATGAGACTAGCACTACATTCCATCATAATATCAAATTGATATCGAAAAGTTTTTACACCAATCTTTACGCTTCACAATCTCCGTCTTAGATCCCGGAATCTCCTCTGGTGAAACATCCCGCCCAGGTTTCTGTCCTCTAGGGTTCGAGTTACGATAGAAAAGAAGAAAAGAGGAAGTACTCCGGGACCTAAAATGATCACTGCCGATTTTCTTTGACCTGGTTCCCAGAAATTGTATGTACTTCTCGCAACCAACATGGTATCCTACATTCAGTGAGGAAAAATCCCACACCAGTGGAGGACATCGGACGCGCTCTTTATATGGAAGAAGGGTGACCTAAGGGATTTTTGAGGCTACCCTCAGTTGCTTGTTTAATATGCAAGCATTTTAAGAAAACTATCATTTTGGGCGTACTGAAGACATGAATGGGGCACAACAAGTTGAACAAGCAGGATTTTGTCAGGGATTTGGCTGCATGAACCATATCCAAACTTTATCGCGCGTTGCAGAATGTGTTAGAGTCACCTTCTGTTCTTTTCTTCTGTATTCTTTTTCTTCTTGGCTCGAAATGAGGAGTACATTCTTGCAACGCTACTTTTACTGCAGACGAATCGGAAGTTTAAACGGACGATGTGTTGAGATAGAAACGAACGCGCTTTACTATCCGATAGGTGCACATTTCTTGCACGATATCATTTCAGAAATCGAACTTATAACGGTGTACAATAAAAAGCTAGTAGAGTTTGCGATAGCTTTGAAATACTAAGTAGTCACGTTTGGATGATGTCTTCTCCCAGACTCCTTTTCTTTCCGCTATTGCAATGACAGAACACTACCTCCAGTGAAAGATAAAAAGAAAAAAAACGGATCTACAAGTTGGACACACTCAACAAAAGATGCACAAAAATTTAGTGGCATTTGAAGGAACATAGCTTGAAAGCATGGATCTACCTCACAAAGGGATCTACTACCGATTAGACGCGAAGCAACGTGTGGCGTCTCCAGATGCAGATAGAGGGTTAATCGCGGATCAATAGCGAGCTTTGCTTCCCTGAGGCGTTAGTGAATCTGGNATTTTGTTGAGGTCTCTTCGTGGATAACAAATGAATAACGTTTCACACCAAAGATATGTTGTCCTTGGCTCGAAATGAGGAGTACATTCTTGCAACGCTACTTTTACTGCAGACGAATCGGAAGTTTAAACGGACGATGTGTTGAGATAGAAACGAACGCGCTTTACTATCCGATAGGTGCACATTTCTTGCACGATATCATTTCAGAAATCGAACTTATAACGGTGTACAATAAAAAGCTAGTAGAGTTTGCGATAGCTTTGAAATACTAAGTAGTCACGTTTGGATGATGTCTTCTCCCAGACTCCTTTTCTTTCCGCTATTGCAATGACAGAACACTACCTCCAGTGAAAGATAAAAAGAAAAAAAACGGATCTACAAGTTGGACACACTCAACAAAAGATGCACAAAAATTTAGTGGCATTTGAAGGAACATAGCTTGAAAGCATGGATCTACCTCACAAAGGGATCTACTACCGATTAGACGCGAAGCAACGTGTGGCGTCTCCAGATGCAGATAGAGGGTTAATCGCGGATCAATAGCGAGCTTTGCTTCCCTGAGGCGTTAGTGAATCTGGGTGGTGGACTCCCTCTTTTTGCTGCGCCGATTTGGCACAGATCCTGCGTATTTACGAGGGCGTGTTAATTCATGCGTGCAATGGTGTGTTCTCGTTTATGCGGATTGTATTCTACGAGTCAAATCGGCCAAAAGCGTTCCATCAAGTGACAGCGAAGTATATGGGAAAAGGGTAGTAGTCGCGTCCAAAAAATATGCTCAATGCCCACTCTGGGAAAGACTGGCAAGCTACCCGTGAACATACTAAGCCCTCATGTTTAGAGCTCAACAACCTAAACAGTAAATTAAACGGACCTCATTACATTGACTCCGAAAGAGTCTCCGATTCAGCAGCGTTGAGTAGCACGACTACGGAGAGCCTGTTAATTCGCAAACGACTAAAGTAACGATCTGTACTTACAACGCACGCACACTTGCATCTGAAAACTCGACAGAAGACTTGACCATGCAAGCAAGAAGGATAAGGTACGACGTTATCGGACTGGCAGAGACGAGACGATGCCACCCATTCAACGCCGTCTATAACACCGGAGAAGAACTGCTCCTCGGAATATGCGACAACAGAATAATCGGGAGCTTCGGCACTCTCTTAAACACGAGTTTGCGCAGGAACGTCTATTCATTCCAAGAACTAGCAACCCGAATTGGACGCTTACGATTGAAGAGATGTGGAACAATACCGGGTTTGAGCATCTTCATCGTTTACTCACCGACTATGACAAAGAAAAAGTCGAAACGATCTAAATACATTTGGAAAAGTTCTACAGTGAAAGTCATTCTTTCTCAATGGTTACCTTTGGAGATTTAAACGCATAGATTGGACTCAGAAGACGGTCTGAAGAATGTCGTGTTGGGAGGCATGGATTGAAACGAACGGGGTTTTCGTAATTTTCTATTTCCGGATTTCCTAGGTTTTTCGTACAGAAAAACTAGCGGCTTTATGAGCATATAGTCACGAATTAAGGCGTTTATGTTAACTATCAATGACTGATTCCTCTCTTTCAGCGTGGAAGCGTCCCAACGGATAACAGCGTATCGAAATAGACCACATAATAAATCGAAGGTTTTGCATCACCGATGTCGCTGTTATTCCAAAATTCTGCATTGGACCAGACCATCGCCTCTTTCGTACATGACTTCATTTTACGCCAAGGAGAGAAAAAGCTGCCAAATTCAATGGGCGAAATTTTATATCCACTTCAAGCTGTAGTTTATTCAGTTCGTTAGTGAACTGTTCGTATGGTTCCGTTCTTGCTGAAATACGACCACTTTAAAGCTCGAAAGGCTAAGAGTTCAAAAGTTACGTAGAGACGACTCTTTCCTGAATCAGTCGGGCCAATACGCCAGCATGGAATCGTACGAGCAACAGGCACCCGCCATCTCCCGTCCTAGTCTACGAAACAATCATGACGTGCGGTAAAAGTTGATCTTATAGAGAAGTGCAACAGTTTGGTTAAAGCTGCAGAGGTTGGGAAAAGAAGTCGCAAAGGCCACCAGAACTTCTTCAATTGCAAAAAGGAGATGGTTTAACCTAAACGCCCAGACCTAGTTGTTACACATTCCAGAAAGGCACTGGTGAAAATCATTGATGACTGTTACTCGGATTTCTTCAATAACGACGTTCTCTCGCCCTCATATGAAATTAAGGAGGATGGATATATTGTGTCACCTGTTTTCCCTTTCGAAATCTCACATGCCATTTTGTCGATGAAAGATGGAGCAACGCCAGGTCTAGACTAGGTATTATCCGAATACTTGAAAAACCTTCCATCAGTCATTAAAAAAAACTGGCTCAGCTTTTCACACCTCACCTGTCAGAATGCAAACTTCCCATATAGTGAAAGAACAGCAAGTTCGTGTTATTGTTCAATGAGGGTGACCTCTACGGTATTGGCAACTATTGCCCAATCTGAAATCTGTCGTCTTCCAAGTTTTCGCTCTAGTTGTCCTGAATAGAGTGGAAAAAACACTGGTCGGACGACAGCCGTTTGAGTAAGCACGGTTTCCGAATGAATTCTGTACGGTTGACCACAATCACACGATGTCAAGACTCACTGGTGTATGGACGAAGTATAAAGCATCGCTGTATCTAACTTTCATAGACTTATGGGAAGCTTTTGGCTCAGTCGAAATAAAACACTCGTGAAAACTCTGGACTGCCAGAGCGTCCGCACTCAGTACTAGAGATTTTCATGAGTTATATAAAAATTTCGCAATCTAAATATCACCGTTTTTAACGACACTAACATCGATATCAAAAGAGAGGTTTGGCAAAGCGATATCATCTTGCCAAAATTTTTTACCGCCATACTCAAGCACGTTATGCGTACAATCGTGCGCACAGAATGCTCTTTAGGACAGCATTAGCATATTCTTACTTACTTTAATATTTATATAGGGTAAAGCATGTGGTCTGGTTAACTTTTTAGCGTGTGCCATATATTTGAATTCATCAAGCCTAACTAACGATCACGTCTGAATTGAAGATTACTTCAAATTGTTGCGCTAGGACTATATCGATGAGTAGTTGAATTATAATGTGATTTTGTTTTAAAAATGGGACCGTTAGGTAACTACACCATAATAAGCCACATTAAATTCTTTACTCGATCTGAGGTCTTTCACTTTTTAGATAATTCATGAACATAGCGGTCGCTTTATTGGCGGATTTGTTTTGAGTCGTTATTTGCGAGGTCTCTCTCCCTGTCAAGTTCTCAGCTTTCGCTATTTGTGAGAATATTATAAGAATGTTGTGTAGTTTCTGTATTATCATTGGGTGTTGCAGCTGTCTCCATGTGTGGTTCACAAAATGTGGTCATTGTGATACCGCTGCTGTAACGACGTGTACCAAATCGT